CACCTTGAATGGCAAAATCACCAACAAAAAGCACAAAAATGCCAAAAACATGGTGCTGATTAGATAGCTAAGAAGATGCTTGTTAGCCTTCTTCAGCCTCAGGTGGAACACATGCATCCTATGGCTCACATTTTTACTGCTCAGAGCATCCATGCCCACGTCAAAAGCGTGGCAAATGGAGATACAATTAAATTTTAACAAGCAGATGAATACACAAATACGGGGTCTGTGAATAATGAGGCTTGACCGTATCATTCTCTCATTGATAGATATTTGTTTGGTGCCCATTGCTAGAATGAATTAAATTGCTATGAACATTCTAATAGAAGTCTTTGTGAAGACATATGCTTTTTTTTGCTTTATTTATTTATTTATTTATTCAGTTTCTTTCTCTTTTTTTTATTGCTTAAAGTATTACAAAGAGTATTACATGGGTCTCCTTTTTTTTTTTTTTCTCCCCTTGACATTCCCCCGGCCTCCCCTACCCCACAGTGTCTTATGTCCATTGGTTATGCTTATATGCATGCATACAAGTCCTTCGGTTGATCTCTTACCCCCTCTTCCTGCCCCCCAACCATCCCCAGTCTTCCCGCTGTAGTTTGACATTCTGTGCGATGAAGACATATGCTTTTATTTTTCTTAGGTAAATACCTGAGCGTAGAATTGCTGGATCATAGGGTAGGGGTATATACTTAGCTTTAAAGAAATGTATGAACTTTTTCCAATGGGTTTTACTAGTTTACACCCAATCCTATGACGGGGTTCTTGTTCCAGCATCAAGAAGGGTTCAGCAATCTGGAGAAGGCTGTGCGTAGATTAAATAAGAGTCCAGAGACAAAGCATAATTTTGAAAGGCACTTGGGGATCAGAGGAGCCTAGTTTAAAGGAAACTAAGATCTAAGTTCTAAGGTCTCGGGTCTAAGGTCTCCTCGTCTCAGAACCCCATGCTTTTTATTAACACAAATTGTCCTGAGGTGAGGCAGAGATATACACTTCAAAGGGCATACACAAGCATTGTCAGAATGGGGAAATTCGCCTACGGCTGTTCAGGTGTTTGGCCAGTAGGAGGCAATAACATGTAGATTAAGATGCCCTGAGCTGTCTGGCAGCCAAGCAATAATCCCTTTTCAGGTTTGGGGAAATGCCCTCAGCCATTCCCAGATGCAGCCCTGCTGTCATGCTGGAATTGGTTTCCGGCAATCCTACTTCTGAATTGTCTACTGGCGACTGTGGCCTTAGACAACAGTAGTAGGACATTAGATAAACTGAACCATACCTTGAATTAGGGAAGTTGGTTCTGTAATAAGGATTCTGAGAGGAAGAGTCCATCCTCTTTGGATTCCTCATTTGCCATCAGCCTGGCTTCACATTTCTCAAGCAGTCATCACATGACCCAACACAGCTGCTGAGAGGCTCCCAGGCAGATGCTAGGACAGAGGAGGCCTGGGCAGCTGGCAGCACAGTTCCCATGGGGATGAGGACCTCTGAGTCGTTTCCTTACTTCACAGTGTACTCACTGACTCCTGATATGTTAGTGGCATTCTGGGATCTGCACAGGGTTAGCATTGAAAGGAAATTTTCTGCAAATCCCTGCAGAAGGCTAGGGGGATGGTCCCAATATAATCTCCTTTCAAGAGATTATAAATTGACACAACTTTTCAGAGGAGAATTTGGTAACAGTGAATAAATTTAATAGGAAGATATAACTATACAAATGCACAGGCTTACATGTGCAGATATTTATTGCAGCATCATTTATGCTGTGAAAAACAATGTTTATCAGCAGGCTACTCATTAAGTAAATGATGGCTTTTTCATAAGGTGAATATTTATTTAACAATAACTTGAAATGTGAGATATATATGGGTGCTCACATGGGAAGGTTTAATGCACAAGCACATATACATATAACAAAAAGAAAGTAACAGGACAATATCTCTACTAAAATTGCAAGTAAAGATTATTTAGAGATATGTTGTGTATGTACAGAAAACTTCTGTATGGACACAATAGAAAGTCCTATTAGTGTACCTGTTGGAGATAGATCAGGAAAATCAGGCATTAGTGAGAAGGACATTTGCATTTTGTTTTATATTCCTCTATACAATTTTAGTTTTTAACATGAATTGTGCTAATTTTATATAAAATGGAAATTGTTTTCTAAATGCAAATATTTTAAATGTTATTTTTCTATTTTATCTAGCACCCCAGCCACCCTCATTTTTATATCCTACTTTTTGGGGTCGGTTCAGTATGTGGGTTCTTCAGCCTTTTCCTCTCAATTCAAGCAGCTCAGGAAGGTGCCCGGGTTGCATCTGAAGACCTAGATGGGAAATATGGCTGAACAGCCGCAGCTGAACTGCATGCTTGTTGGAGAGTCTGGAATGGGCAGGGGCCTGAGCTGCTTGAGAGGTTGGTTTGGGTGGCAGATCTCTATTTCTCTTACCAGGTTTCCCATAACTATGGTCAGAGAGTATCTGGTAGACGGAGAGCAGATCTCTGGGAAAGATGAGCTGAAAAACTTTTTGACAGAGGGTATTGGTGGCCGCTGGGTTTTGGATGTGTGCTTTGGTGTCTTCTGCTTGAGAGTCCAGTAGGCTCTGCAGGGCTAATTGGCATCAGGGAGAGTCACACCAGGCAGCAGGGGGCTGGCCATTTACTACCTGGACTGTTTGGTGATAACCAGGATTTGGGGTCCAGGAGGAAGGCAGCCTGGGCACTGAGAAACTCCTGGCTGGGAGACGTCAAGTTTGCCCGTTACAGAAACTTTTCCTTCTTCTAAAGTTTGATTAGCCTCGGGAGGGAGGAGTGAAAGTTTCTCTGGCTTTCCCTCGACGGCATCCCTAGGGTTTCTCTGAACTTGACAAATTTAGTTCCTCAGTGAGTAACTCTCCTCAGGGACAGAGAGAAGGAAAGCAGGAGGGAGAGAGACAGAGGGAGACAACTGGGTTCCCCACAGCACTGTTACCACTGGATTCCTCCCTCCCAAAAGCCCTCCCCCCAGTCCCCCCCCCGCCACAAGTGAAGACAGTAGGAGCTGTTCTGGCCCACAGAGCAAGCTCAGCAGTAGCCAGGCAGCAGGTAGCCTGGGCTGATCCCTGGAGAGCCGTGCAACTTTCCAGGCAAGTCCCCTTCTCTGGAGGTGAGTGACTTCTAAGGGTTCCTCTCCGTGAAAGTCAGAGTAGGAGAGGCTCAGGATGGGCAGTTCTTGGATTTGTTATTGTTCAGCACAAGGACACCTAGAGCGTGAGGCATGGACTAAAGGAGCTGCTGAGTGGATGACTGTATATCAGGTTCCTTCTCCACAGCAGAGAGCAGACTCTGCCCTTCTCAGTGCTGCGAATGAACACAGCTCTCTGCTGCCACTCAGTACCCTGCTCTCTCCCTCCTCCCTTTTTCTTTTATGTCTGCCATTTTGTAAGTGATCTCCAGGCAGGAACCACAGATTGACCGGACAATGCCTTAGTGAGGAGTGAAAAGAGCACCCTATCCTCTAACAGGAGAGAAAGCAGGTCAGGATGGATACCCTCTGTTTATCCATTGACTTGTTTGTGATTCATTCATTGATTGATTTATTGAATAAACATGAAAAGATTGCATACTCTGTTCTTGGCACTGGAGATGTGACAGTGAATAAGAAAGACAAAGAAACTCCCGTAAGGTACTTCAATTTCAGCTGTTGATGAAAGCCAATGAGCAGAAAATACAGCCTCATGAGCGGTCCAATATGAGTAAGTGCATGTGCTGTTTTAGAGAGGATGCCTGGGGAAGTGCCCATGGACTGGAGACATTTGATCAGTGACCTGCGTGTGGTGAGGGAAGGAGCCCAGAGATCCCAAGTCAGTGCGATTCATTTGGTGTTTTTTTGACACTTTCCCTCATTTGTAGGACTTTGATGAAAATGGATGAGCAGATATTCTCTGGAGACTTTTCCAAGCTTCTCTGTGGGACTCAGATCATGCCTGGTTGGTGATCAGGACAGCTTGCCCAGGACAGTAAGCCTGTCTCCTTGCCGGAACTAGAGATTTGAGACCAGGTGAAGTTAGAGTATGTTGCCTCTAAACTCTAGCTGCTTTCTTGTCTCCTGCTCCCAGGATGGAGGGCATGCTGGACAGATGGGAGTTGGGGATCAAAGTCCAAGCCTCCTCTGCACTCCTCTGGACCCCGACTCCCTCTGTCATCTGGTGGCAAGAGGGATCATAATCTCAGAGCTAGAGGTCACCAATTGGGAGCTGGTGACACTCTTCCTACTTGGAGGAGGCACATTCACTGAAGTGAGAGGTGGAGGATGGCTTTTTACCATAAGAATAAGGAGAAAGAAGTGGATAATTCATTCCAGGGAGTCAGCTCCCCAGAAGTCAGGGCAAGACTCAATACCGTGTCTCAAAATAATTCTTACAATAATGTCCTGAGTAGAACCCACCTCCCTGCCAGCAGCCCTACTAACAAGCAGAAATGATGATGAAGAAGAGTGCAGTGAAAACATTAGGTGAACAGAAGGCAAATGGAGCCTACATTTAAAGGAAACACAGGAAAGAAGTAATCAAGTCTGGTGGGATTGGCTAGGAAGACTTCCTTGTAACTGCTGAGATGCAGCAGTTTGGCAGGGCATGGACATAACAGGTACAGAAGGGTGACTTAGGGCATTCAGGATGGAAGGGCTGGTGGTAAAACTGAGCACTTATGCTCAGGGAACTAGACAGGTGGGAGGTTAAAGCAGAGTTGGAGGTAGGATGTCTAGTGAATTAAGGGACAGGGTGCATATTGGGGTGGGTGGGTTTTTATGCCTGGGATATGGTATTGGTGACTATTGTTCATCTTCTTGGACATATACATCTGTCTTCATATATTATATGTTTCTCATAAAACATTTAGCATCAATCTTATACAAAGAATAGTAGATGAGCCCACTTGATCATGATGGGGAGCCTAAGAGCAGAGGAAATGTTTTCTGAAGTCTTTTGAAATTGTGAACATGTTTTCTCTCTCTTTTTCTCTAGATTTCACAAAGAGCAACAACACAGGACTAAATGTTGAAGAATTACTCTAGTGCCATTGATTTTTATCTCCTTGGTTTCTATGGCTCTAAAGAACGACACAATATCCTCTTTGCTGTCTTCCTCTTCCTCTATTCAGTGACATTAATGGGAAACATAGTCATCATTGTGACTGTCTGTGTTGATAAACGTCTGCAGTCCCCCATGTATTTTTTCCTTGGCCACCTCTCTGTCCTAGAGATCCTGATCACATCTGTTGCCGTTCCCTTGATGCTCTGGGGCTTGTTGCTCCCTGGGATGCAGGCTATATCTTTGACTGCTTGTGCTGCACAACTATACTTGTACCTTTCTTTGGGCACGTCGGAGTTGGTATTACTGGGAGTGATGGCTGTGGACCGTTATGTGGCTGTCTGTAACCCTTTGAGATACAACATCATTATGAACAGCCACACCTGCATCTGGGTGGTAATTATGTCATGGGTGTTTGGGTTCCTTTTTCAAATCTGGCCAGTTTATGCCACGTTTCAGCTTACCTTCTGCAAATCAAATGTGTTAGACCATTTTTATTGTGACCGAGGGCAGCTACTCAGACTATCCTGTGATGACAGCCTTTTCACAGAACTTATTCTTTTTTTAATGGCTGTCTTCATTATTGTTGGTTCTTTGATCCCTACAATTGTCTCCTACACTTACATCATCTCCACCATCCTCAAGATCCCCACTGCCTCTGGCAGGAGGAAAGCCTTCTCCACATGTGCCTCACACTTCACCGTTGTTGTGATCGGCTATGGCACCTGCCTGTTCCTCTATGTGAAACCCAAGCAAACGCAGGCAGCTGAATACAACAGGGTAGCATCAGTGATGGTTTTAGTAGTGACTCCTTTTCTGAACCCATTTATCTTCACCCTCCGGAATGACAAATTCATAGAGGCCTTTCGAGATGTCATGAAACGCTGCTGTCACCTCCTCAAGGGTTAGTTCTGTCCTAAAGACAATCATGGACTCATCATCATGGAACCGAGTAATCTGAAAGCCCCAATTCAAATCTGAAATGATCCTTTTCATCAACAAATAGTTTGTCATCTACAAGGGAATTTTAAGAAACTGGAAGTGTTCCATTTTGTAACTGGATGGTTCCTATATGTGAGTTCACTTTATTAACTGTTAAGTGCAATGAATACATTTATCTATACTTCTGTAGTTATATGTCTTACAATATAAATTTGACAAATGTAGATATACAAAATGTATGTGATTTTTTTTTTAGAACAATCAGATCTTTGACTGGAAAAAGCAAGGAAAAGGATACTTCATTTTCTTTCAGCTGACCTAAATGTTTGATTCTAAGGGCTGGGGTCATCTTCGCCTATATTGTCCTATGATTTCATGATCTCACTGCCTAAAGGTCCCTCTGTTACTTCTCTGCATGATCCCAAGTCCAGCCTCAGGCTTCACCCATTTCTTGAGGTTTCTACTCCAAGGTCCAACAGTGACAGTACCTCCCTATAGATTTCCTTGACTGGCAGTAGTGAGAGTGAACTCACTCCACAGCCCTGACCTCTTACTAACCTCAGGGCTGGATGATCATACAGACACTTCTTCAGGGTGTGGAGGGAAGGTCTTGAAAGAGACATTTTCTTACCTGGCATCACCCATATCATCATGCCAGCCCCAAATGTGGAAGGGCAGTGGGGCTGTATTCTTGGTGCTAAAGTAACAAGGGAGAGTTGAACGTAACTATGCCCCTGGCTGAGGGAGGTTGCATGGAGGGCAGAAAACAGGCAGCCTCTCACATTGTTCAACCCTGACATGGAGCATTTCATCTCCTTTCTCTGTTAGCTACATTTCTATATTCCTTTCCCCCTCCCTTCCCCTCCCCTCCCTCACAAGGACCAGGTTTACCAACTGTCTTCCAGCTCTACACTGAGATCCATAATTTGTATGTCTCAGTTTCCATATTGTTCCATCCCAGTTTCTGTTGCACCACTCTTGTCTATCAATATTTCTGCCATTTTTATGTTGCCAAGTAGGTCACAAAGGACTGTGCACATAAGACAGCCTTCCCAACATTATAAATATATGAGATGACCTCACCGAGGTGGTGAGGAAAAAGGGAAGTGACTTTGAAAAGCAGTGTTTAGACTGGAGTCTACAAGACTAAGTTAGGAAAAGGAACTGTGCCCAATCATAGTACTCTTGTCAGTAAAGTCGTTTTTCACGGGGGGGTGGGGGGATGAGTTAACAATTCTAAAATTGCTGGATGTGTATACTACAGCTGAGCAAATAAATAAAGGATGGCAGGTGGTAGGGCCTGGGTCTTTCACCATGGATAGGAAGGTTACAGATGAGCAAGGAGAGAAGGCTAGAATAAGGCCTCTAGTAGTGGATTACTAGTAGTGTTGGAGATATCAATATGCATCATATTTAGGTGAATATATGTATACATGTGGTTAGATCAATTTGTGATACAAATAAATAATATAAAAAATGACTCTTCTTTTTCAAAACTGTTTTGGTTATTCTATTACCATTCTCTTTCCATGTAAATTTTGGAATCATTTTATATATATCTAAACAAAGCTTGCTGGGATATTGATTGGGACACTGCTGAATCTATAGTGAAAGCCCCAAGGAATATACTCTCTCAATTAATGTATGATTGTAAATTTTCTGCCTGACCATTGTGTTGAGTAGGGGCTTTTTGATGATAGAAGGTCAATCTTTCCTCTGTCTCTCATACCTGTTCTCTATGTCTCATTTTAAATGAAGGCATAGTTGTCTTTCCTCTGTGACATTAGGCTTGCTCCTGATTCTCTCATCAGCATATACCCGTGGCTTTACTTTCACATTTTCTATCTTTCTATGGTCATGATACCAATGTACCAAGTTCTCTCATAGCTTTACAACTCCTAAGAAGTCCTGTACCTTTATCAGGTCATCCTAGTAGGTTAGAATCCTCATCCGTTATACCCTCAGCCTCCGTCCTTGCCATCCTAAGAGCCCATGTTGTTTTTGAACACTGTGCCTGACGTCATGTGCCGCACTCAGGTACACCACAAGTGGTTAGCAACTGTAAGCTCTGACTCAGAGCAGTCAACCCAACCCTGGGGATTTTCCCATTCATGTGCCATACTTTTATACCCACGTATTTATATAATTTACTATTAATAACTCTTAAGACATTGTAATAAAAGAAAACAGCATTATCCACAATCATAACAGCATTATTCACAATTGTCAAAAAGTGGAAATAACCCAAAAGTCTCTTGATAGGTGAATGTATAAACAAAATGTTGCATATGCTTACAATGGAATATTATTCAGGCTTAAAAAGCGATAAAATTCTGATACATGCTACAACATGGATGAATATTGTAAAAGTAAAATAAGACAGATGCATAAGGATGGCTATTGCATGATTCCGCTTATATGTGGTAACTAGAATAGAGACAGAAAATAAAAAAATGAGTATCAAGGGTGTGAGGAAGGGGACAATGGGAGTTATTAAGTAATAGGTACAGAGTGTCAGCTTGGGATGATTAAAATGTTCTGGAGATGGATAGTGATGATGGTTATTCAACAAGGTGAATGTACTTAATGCCACAGAACTGTACACTTAAAATGGTTAAAATGGTAAATTTTATGTTAAGCATTTTAAAAAAGAAAAAATAAAAAAGAAAAAATATCAAATAATTCTAAATGATTCATATAGTGATAACCAGTGATAATCCATAACCAGAGGCAGCTATGTTTAACTACTTCTGCTGGTACATATTTATAAACAATATACTTATATAGGTATTGCTCAAATTCTCAATTTGTTTTTTCTTTCATTAAGAATTGCCTACTTAAAAAAAATTTCCTTGAACTTTCACCCTCTCTGTTTTCCCCGTCACATGCCCCTACAGATATCATAAACTGAACAATGATTTTTCCTTATGTCTTATGCTCTCTAGATCTTCTTTTCTGGTTTGATTTCAAGTTTTATTTTCTTTTTAAAAAATCTTTATTATTGAGATTTTTACAGTTATTATGTCCATCTTTTTCCCCCTCATAGCTCCTCTCCACCTGGTTCCCACCCTGCCCCAGGTCCTCACCACCGTATTATCTGTGTCCATAGGTAATGCATACATACATATAAGATCTTTGTCTAATCTCTCCCCCCAACACACACCTTTCCCTCTGAGAACTGTCAGTCTGTTCCATTTCCATGCCCCTGATTCTATACCATTCACCAGTTTATTCTGTTCATCGGATTTTTTTTTATTTTGATTTTTAGATTCATTTTTGATAGATATGTATTTGTTGCCACTTTGTTGTTCATATTTTTTATCTTTATCTTTTTCTTCTTCTCCCTCTTCTTAAAGAATACCCTTCAGCATTTCATATAATACTGGTTTGGCGGTGGTGAACTCCTTTAGCTTGTTATCTGTGAAGCTCTTTAACTGACCTATAATTCTAAATGATAGCTTTGCTGGGTAGAGTAATTTTGGTTGTAGGTTCTTGCTATTCATCTCTTTGAATATTTCTTGCCTGCATAGTTTCTGGCCTGCATAGTTTCTGTTGAGAAATCAGCTGACAGTCATATGAGATATTGGCAGACTCTCTTTTTATCACTGGTGGTGATACAAGAAAAAGATCTTGCCTTCAAGGTACTTCTTTCTAATGTGGGATTTCGATGATAAATGAATAATCAAGTAAACGTATAACATGATTTGAGATATTGATGAGAGCCAATAGAAAGAAAAATACAGTCTAAAAGAGTTAGTGAAATTGTCCATGTATTGCATTAGAAGGGATGAGAAGAAAGGGGCCCAAGAAGAGAAGATATTTAAGTGAAGATCTGCATGGCTGTTACTCAAGGTCAAGGGAAGGAGCCTAGACACCCTAAGGAACTCCATGTGATCTATTTTGGTGTCTTCTAATATTTTTCCTTATCCCAGGGCTCTGGAGAAAATGGAATGTCACAGACAAGCAGATATGCTATTTGGAATTTTCCAAGTTGCTCTATGAGACGGAGACGACGACGACAG